AAAATTTAATGAACGTAAATATGAAATGGTCAGTGGCTCAAATAAATCATAATTATTATATTTATGCAGTGCATCAATGTTCTATCCTAAAATAATAAAAAAATTAAAAAAAATAAAGAGCAATTTCCTGGATTCGAACCCGTGTATTCGGCATGCGAACTACGATCGCTAACCACTAACCAGGTTGAATATTTGTTCAGGGTTCTTTAAATCATCGGAAAACCCTTCATCCTTAAAATATTCATAAATTTCGGTGAATCATGATCTTATTTGCGGTTCAAAACCGGCAGCATCGGCTTAGCTAAGGGCATCGGTACCCGTCGTGGAATCTCCGGGTGACGATTAAGAAACGAATTAATCTATTTCCGACCACAAACTCCGTTTATGAATGAATAGGATCGACCAGATGCCTGCATGTAATGTGCCCGCCTTCAGTCTATTTGTGTTCGCCGGGAAACCCCTTTTTGCACCGTCTAGCAACCAGTCAGCAACTCGGTTTTCCTCAACAGTTGTAAGAACTGTAGCTTTTCCCGGGCTAGCTGTGGAATAATTTTCAGCTTTCACTTTCGCTACAGTGACATCCATTTTTTGTTTGTATATTGTTTGTATATTTTTATGACCGGTTTTTTTTAAACCCATCTCGAAATCTATTGACTGGAAGTAGGAACAAGTAGACTCTTAAGCGTCGGGTCGAGTGTATTTTCCATATGTATCACTCAAATTCGATAGCAAGCAAGGAGGTAGTGCACAATTCTTAGAAATGTTACCTGTAGTGTCCTGTTCTGGTGCTTTACAAGAGTTTTTATCCGATTTTTCACTGTAGAAACTTAAATCCTGTGACTGCCGCTCTTAGCAGTGCAGCTAAGGAAAGCAACAAATATGGCTGCTGGCAGGACGGCGGACAGTATTTGCTTAAATTTGCACTTCAGTTTAGTTTTTCCAGATATAATCATCAAAAATATCATAACTAAATCACTGATGTTTCGCGACAAATCTATTGGATATTAAATGTTTTCATTTTCGTGGACGGAATTAGGCGTAGATTGGAATTAGGGTGCATCACGGTATATGTAGCATTTTTGCACTATTTCGAATGTTGCCCTTGACCAATTTCAATAACTTCATCGCCAATCGATCAGAAATACCACTACGCATCGATATCAATGCTTCCGACTGTAGATTTTCAACAAGAAACTATTGAAAAAGTAGTAAATGTCAAGCATTGTCCAAAAGCGTCGAAACAACTAACAAATTCTCCAATTACGTGCATGCATATGCTGCTTCCCCAACACAGTCATAAGAGAATTGTTTCTAGACGAAACATGTCGATGTAGCATTGCTGCTTCTCCAACACAGTCATCAGAGAGTCTTTAGTAGACGAAACTCGAGACGAAACAAGTCGAAGTGGCATTCGCCTCCGATCTTCGGGCGTGTGCGAATAGGGAGGATCCAATTGCATAACATTTTGCACACTCATCGCCATATTCAGAACCACACGCCCCCAAAGACCCCACAAAATGCTTTCCACAGTTGTAATCTTGTAACCAAACTTGGAAGCAGGGGTGCAAGTGATTTTGATCGATACTCTCTGTTTCGTTAATAACTCCACAGCAAACACATTCATGGATACGTTTGTTGTTCTGGATGATAGAAGAGCTTAGCAAAAATAGTGCGAAATAGGTTAGCCAAGCCATGGTCATCAAAAAAAGGGAATCGATGAAGAGAATTAACTTTCACCCCTCTGCTGCTCTGCTTCTAAGCCCCTTAATTCAGTCGTCGTCATAGCAATGAAAACTAGCATCGCACCGCTTTTGGTTCTTGTGTTACTTGCTCGTTGCAATTCTGTTGCTCGAAATTTTCGAAGGACCACCAACACTATTTTCTAGGGATGCCTAAATGTCCAATTATTCGATTAACGATTAATCGTAAAGATTTTTCCAGCTATTCGATTAAATATTTATCGTATTTTCAATTATTCGAGCGCGTAACCGACATCCCTTCTTAATTCTTCTCGTTTGATTTAGCGCAGTAGAGCAAATAAATAAAAGTACTAATTTATCTGAAAAGGCATAGAGAAGAACCATGATGTGAATCAGGATCATAAATTCTCCAAAAAAGTGTTAAGCGTCTTTCTGCTAAAGGCTAAGATTTACCAACTTGTTGAGAGAAGGAGTTGATCGAGAAAAACTAAAAAGGGGAGGAGCCTTAACTGGGTGGTAACTGATATTCTACGGCTTTCCAACCTGTCGCAGACACCAGTTTCAACCCCTGTCAAGCAGCAGACGGGCCGAGACTCTTGCGAGTACTCAATCATTGAAGCGAAGAATATGGGACTATCCGGTCCGATTTGCTGATCCAGCTGCCTACACGTCATCATCATCTTCCAAAGGCTTTCAGATTTTCTAAAAGAGTTCAATTTCTGAACATGTCCCAACTAAAGTTCTTATCAAAAGTTTCTTTTCCGGGCAATCATAGTCATACTAAAGAGTATAAACAGAGAGAACCCTGCTCAAATTCCTATTCCTATACAAAACACAAGCTCCTGCTACAGTTAACAAATAACATTTATTATATAAGACCAAGTAGTACTACGTCACCATTGCGTACAACACCGTAGGGCTGTCCCTTGTAGTTTTTTTTTAAATCAAAGGCTTCGAACCAATTTATGAATCTAAGACCAAGATTTTAAAATTCTGTCCCGTTCTAAGAAAACATTTAAACATCCCAAACTTGGGGATATGTTCATCATCTGGGATTTCTCATGATTCTGGGTAGGTATTAAAGGTTTCGTAGCCATACGGCATTAAAAAATGTTTACATTCCTCACAGACTGAAAAAAACTGCTCGCAATTCTTTTCACATTTTAAGGCTGAAGACCTATCGATGCTACCTTGGGCTTTAGAGGGTTAACTGCGATGATCGATTCTCTTAGTCTCTTGGTTGGAAATGCTATCTAACATAATGCTTTAGTGTGATAGTTTATTAGCTAGAGAATGGTCTTAGAAGAGGGTAGGTAGATAGTTCCGTTAACTTACGGCAGTCTGAAAATTGAATAGAAGTTGAAAATGAGCGAAGGGCCATTAATGCGACAGTGCAAGTCAAACGCACACTTATTTGCCTAACCCGTATGCTGTACGTGGAGATTTGAAGCTCTAGCTAATAAATTATCACGCTAAAGCTTCATGTTAGATAGCATTTCCAACCAACTCTGGAAATCGCAAACTTCGTAGCAGCATAAAAACACTTTGAATGTAACAACTCAAGGCGGGAGTAGCCGACAACAATGCTGATGATGGTACAGCACGCAACAACCATCCTATTGCTTTCTCTCTGAGATGACTAAGTTGGTCATGCGAGAGGAGCAACACAATAGTTGGGTAAAGAAGAATTGCATTATAACACACCATCGACTGGAAATGCTTTCGACAACGTGGGGCTTTAGGTAGTGATGAAACGTCGCTAGAACTATTCCACAGCCGCAGACAGTATGTGAGCCAATTCAAACGCACACTTTTTGCCTGTAGTTTGAAGACATAGGGAAAATACAGGTAATGTCGGCCTAAGTGTCCCTAATTTGGGCCCATACAAATTCAGCAATTGACTAAATTTTCAATAGCAACCAAAAATATCCATTAGTAACGTCCCAATAACGCGTTCATCCAGATAAAATTGATAAATAGCAGATTTTTAGCGATGGGCCCAATCTTAGATCCATAGGCCAACATTAGAGACATTTCCCCTACTTCAAATTTCTGCGTACATCGTACAGGTTAGCTGAAGAAGTGTGCGTTTTACTTGCACTGTCGCATTAATGGCCCTTCGCTCATTTTCAACTTCTATTCAATTTTCATACTGCCGTACTCTAACGGAACTATCTACATCTACATACCTTCTTTCTAAGACCATTCTTTAGCAAATAAATTATCACACTGAAGCTGCATCACAGACAAACAGGCATAACACTCATAAGTTGTTCATCAAGCATTTAGCGGTCAATTTGAAAGTATCGCTTCCCTTGTGTTTGACGTTTACACACTACCGCCATCTGTTCAGCGTACTACCAACCACAGTGTACTCAACAGATGGCGGTAATGTTTTAGTGACGATGTTTTACAATGAGAAATATTCAATGTGTTATGTCTGTTTGTCTGTGGCTTCATGTTAGATAGCATTTCCAACCAACTCTGAACATCGCAAACGTCGTGTATGAAGTAACATAAAAACACTTTGAATTATCATCCATTTTTTCTCAAATCGTGTTTTTAAGATTCGAAAATGTTTATTTCAAAGAAATCTGACTTCATATTCAGATTTCACTACCCAAAGTAATTCCATCAAATATACTGAATTATTCGTATGATATGACACTTTTCATTTTTTTTCACACTAATTGTGCTTGTAGAGTAGTATAATGTCAGTCATCGCAAGTCGGTCCCATTTGCGTTTTTGTAAAAACTGATTTTTTTAATGGAAATGGTAGATAATACCCCATATTTTTTATAATACTGAATGAAGTTAACAGCTTTGATCTGGAAAAGTTTGGAAAAATAGGAAAACGGATTGCCCCATCACATAAGAAGTGCTATGGGACGGACTAGTCATGAGCGGCAGTATAATACAGCGTTTTCTTTTTTGCAAAACCATGCAAAACGCCTTTTGAAAACTACGTAATAAATACTGATGAAGTTCTTTCTTAAAATTATCATTAAGTTTGTGGCATAAAGAAATTGAACGGTGCCGCGATCAACTTTTCCCCGCTGCTTCATTTCAATTATTCATATCGAAAATTGTACACAAAATCGCATTGAATAAAATCAGTTCAGTAAAAAAGAGAACCCTTGCTACACTCAAATGATACAAAATCTCCAAATTCCTATTATTCCACCAGCTCCATCATATCGAGTGACAAATTCATTGTGTCTAAAAGCATGTCATCAGAGAGAGTGTGCAACGCTAACGATATCCTTACTAACATATCTCTATTCCTCCCTTTTTTCCAGAATCGTGAAGCCATGGACCGACTGGAGGAGCTGGAAACCTGCAACAACCACCTGCTGAAACGACTGGACAAGCTGAAGAACGCAAAAAGTGCCCTACTCAAAGACCTCTGATAGGCTTCGGTTTTCAAATTCACTTTCCCCCACCATCCCCATCACCCAATTTTCACCGAACTTACTTCATCTTCCAATTTATTTCATCGCGAATCAATTCATGATCAGAGTTTGAATCAAGGGACCGGTCCCGTTTCCATCCTGTATGTAGAGTTTGTACATTTTTTTAGTGAGTGTTGAAAAAGCTTCATTCTAGGGTATACAAAATCGAAACGCTTAACGGCAAAGTTTTCTTATAAAGTGCAAACACAGCTTTCCTCTGTTCGCTCCACGACAGGAGACGATACTAACTCTAACGCAAAAGCCAGCTTGATGTGTAAAATACAGTCTTTGTAGTAACAGTAAAATGTATGATTGTACACAAATGAAATTAGATTTTGCACTTACCAGTAAGTAGGCTTGTATAGTAAATTTATTGAAAAGAAAACAAGTATAGACACCCGTTTATTGTAATTAATTGGAACCACTGTGTGTTTAACAGAATAGTGTAAATTGATACTTCAGAGATTAGGCACATTTAGGCAAACCATTGAACATACTGTGTATATCTGCGACTATTAGTTATAAATTGAGCATGAAACCAATTTTAATATTTAATTTATTGAAGAGAAAAATACAGCTAGCTGTAAGGATCACGTCATGTTTCATCGAAAAAGTAAAGAGATCTATTCAGTTGCCAATTTTGCAAAAATAGCTATAGAAAACCGGTAGACGTTTTAAGGGCAACCAATATGTTTGAAAAATATAATAAAATTGCCAAATTAGACACAAGAAAAGCATCAGTCATGAATCGACGCACGAACATCAAACATGAGAATTGCGTACGACGACGACTCTTCATCCATCGGAACAAAACAAAATAAACGTGAAGGTGAGTTGTTAGACCAGTTACATTTACTGTTGTTTAAATTATAAAACTAAAAAAGTAAACTACAGTTTCGTTTGTTAACATCCTAATGCTGGAAAACATTGATGATCATTTTCGTTCCTGGTAGTAATCTAGCGTCTTTTCCACTTCTAACGCCTTCCTAATTTGTTAACTATTTTGTAATTCTCCTTTCGTATATTACCAATACACAATCAGTCACATTTTTAACGAATAGAGAAACTTTTAACATACTCCTAAAACTGCCATATGAAATTTTGTTTGTTTGTTTTCACAAATTGGTAGACATTTTCGTTTTGCATTGCGCCAACGATTAGGATATGTAAATCTAATTTGTACATTTTTAATCGGAATCAGACTTCCTTCCTGAATAAAAATACACAAAATCAAATGACTCCGCGCCTCGTCCGTGGACGTTGCTTTTGTTTAGCTTTTACAATCTATTCAATTTAAGGGCAACAATGTTGGCAAGACAAGGTCGAAAGGAGAGATCGAGTTATGCTTGATGCTGTAACTGAAGTTGGACAAATCCGCCAACGGAAGAGCGTTAAAATTCATCGTTGGTCAGGTATAAAAGAAATGTGCACTGTTGTCTCTGGTTGGATGTACTGTGTGTATAAAACATGAACCTTTGTAGAGAACCAATGAATTATACTCTAAAAAGAATGATAGAGTTTGTTAGAGCGAGCAAAACAGTAGTAATAACGACAAGAAGCAACGTGTAATAACAAAGCAAAATCTGGAAAGCAAAAGAAGAAAAATGTAAAATAAATTGATAAAAGCATGATGAACAGTAGTAACAATTATTTTATTTTAAAACATACCGAAATCTTTAGTAAAGTGCAAAAGACTGGCTTATTGCTTAGTGGAACTCATATCACTTTGCTTTTATCGGGTATCCTGTTTGATGTGTTTTTGCAAACCGAAAAAGTTAGAATGGCTTTCAGAAACAGTCAGGCTTTAAAACAATGCTAGTAGGAATTGAAATACAGTTAGCTCTCCCTTACTCGATATTTCCAATTACTCGCTGAAAATCAAAGTCCCTTCAATTGTGCAAGCATTGCTCTCTTCCTTACTCGATATTTTCCCAACTCTTTTTCACCTCACTAAGTCGATTTAATATTATTTATTACCCGATAATTTTAGACCCGTACTGCCTATAATCCCATATCAGTCCCATATGGAGAAAGTTGGCATTGAGAAAATGGCAAATGAAGTAAAGTAGTGGTTGGACTCACTCGTTTACACTCGTTCCGCAATCTATTTGAAGGCGAGGATGGCTATTTTGTTTCTGTATACCTCGCGCGAGTGAATAAATTTTCCCATGCTTGATTGCAGGAATTCCAGGGAAGTTCCAAAAACTTCAGGAAAATTGCAGGAACTTCTCGGATATTCTGAGAATCTCATAAATGGTTCGAGAACTTCAGGATAATTGCAGGAACGTTACAAGAACTTAAGAAAAATTACAGAAACTTAAGAGAAGTTCCTAGTACTTCAGGAAAGTTGCAGAAACTTTATCGATGTTCTGAGAACTTGTAGAAACTTAAGGGAAGTTTCTAGAACTTCAGGAAAATTAAAGGATTTTGAGGGAAGCGTTGAGAACATTATGAAAATTGCAGGAACTGCGGGGATGTTCCGAGAGCTTCAGGGAGGTAACGGTAGCTTCAGAGATGTTCCGAGGTTTACATGGCAGTTCCGAGCGCTTCAGGCTATATCAATTTTGGTGCTCTTCTTCGCCTGAATGGCTGAATCGAAAGTAAATAGTAAATGACAATCATTTAGCTACCGACGCCAAAAAGGCAGCTCCCACACCTGGACCCTACCTATCGACCCATCGACTAATATAGACCGGGGATCAACGGCGAAGGAAGGCGTGATCAGAGATGTTATGCCTTAGAAAATCCCGACGGCGCCGAGTGGGATTGAACCCAGACCCTTTGAAGTGAAAGGCAGTCACGCTTACCACTACACCACCGGCGCCGCTAATTAAGGACGGCTGAATAACCTTTAGAAAAGTTTCGTGAACTTTAGAGAAGTTGTCATATGTTCAAAGATGTTCCAGGATTTGCAGAGAAGTCCAATGAATCTCAGGAAATATCATAGACTTTCAGAAATATTCTAAGAACGTTTGATTCGGATTCAGAGGACCCACATTCATAAAACACATCTACTATAAATGCACTATGGAAGCTATTTGAAGGGTTGATCAATTTTCTACCATATCGATATTTTCTAATTTGAGATTTGGAAAATCTCCTAAAACTAAACAAAACATCATATAAAGGGTTATATCATAGAGGTAACTCTAAGACCACTGGGTCCCGAAGAAAATCATTATTATTTTTGGCTCACTCAGTACCAGAACAACGGTCCCAAGCAGTCCCAAGCTATTTCACTCACCCCTGCATGTTCTGCATGAATCCACACACCCCTGATGTTATCTGTCAAACTTTCATAGCGAATCAAAACAAACATAGTGTAGTAATAGAATTTCAACTAGAATAGGGTACGTTAATCGTTTGCTTGGGACCAATAGGCTACTAAAGTGGTGAGCCAATTTAAAATCGTTAGTTTCGTATTGATTGTTGGTTATACGGTCAAAATTTGGTCAATATCAACTTGACGTATTTCTTTCAATTTTGCATTTAAAAAACCTGAACACCCCTCATTTTGAAGGTGTGTGTGTGTAGAATGTTGCTCCTATTTTGATTTTTGGAATTCACTCTTCAGTTGTCAAAATGCCGTCCAAGCAAGAAGAGCAGCGTATCAAAATTTTGCTCGCGCATCGCGAAAATCCGAGCTACTCGCACGCAAAGTTGGCAAAATCGCTAAAAGTTGCCAAATCAACCGTTACAAATGTAATTAAAGTGTTTGGGGAACGTTTGTCGACAGCCAGGAAGTCTGGATCGGGGGGAAATCGAAAACCGGAAGCCGCTGAGACGACAAAGAGAGTTGCCGGTAGTTTCAAGCGAAACCCTAACCTCTCTCTCCGAGATGCCGCAAATAAGCTGGGTGTATCGTCTACAACCGTGCATCGAGCCAAAAAGTTGGAAGGGTTGTATACTAGATACGACCGCAGGGTTGGCGTTGGATAACGTCTGTTATGTGTTGTATTTAATTGTGTATATTATATTTTAGGAATATTCCTTAATAACTCTTTTGCGAAAGTTTGGTGGCCCTGAAAAGGGCCGTTTTGTTGGGCTGATGTTGTTGGGTTTGCTCTACTCTGTCGCCCTGGAGGAGCTTTGGAATGATGTTGGTAGTTCGAAGACAGACAGCATCTCCCCTTCCAGCGTTCCCACACCCCAGTATAGTCCCCAAATTTAAGTGTAACTGTGATATTCTGGATAGAAATTGTCTTCAAAACTAACTCTTTGTCGAATTATTGGTGGCCCTGAAAAGGGCCGTTTTGGTTGTGGTTTTGGAATGATAGACTGAATAAATGATTATGTTTGAAAAATTTCAGTTTTTGCTCCGATCAACAACCATACGGGGCAATATGAGCACCCTAGTAAAAGTTAAGGTTTTGACAGGTTTTCACTAGAAAATAACATGCAGGAATCAAGTGAAATAGAAACATAAGTTCTTTTAGCAACAGTTACGTGTATTGCTCGCTGTAGAACCAGCGGATCAGTAAAATGTAATATAGTGAATGCGATGCTTGTTTTCTTGACTGCATATCTTATAATATTCTAGAGATTTTGAGCTAATGTTACATTTCCATTATTATCTTTGACATGTAATTGAATTTTGATACGGTTTTCATGGAGATGCATATTAGAAGCATTTTCAACAAGTTTGTAAAAAAAAAATAGATTGAGTTAATAGGTATTATGCCCAAACGAACGGTGCCCCATCTCGCCCCGTATGGTCTTCTTGCCCCCATCGCCTCTATTGGACTGAATTCGGAAACGCTCATGTCCAACCGGTTTCGTTTTGGGCTGGAAATTCTCTAAAGCAACATATTTAAAAAATCTGGGAAAATCCGGAACATAATTAAAAATTCTTGAAATAAACGTAATAACATATAAGTGAATTATATCTGGGTAAGTATCTGGCAAGACGATTGAAAATCTGGAAAATCAAATAAATCAGGAATACTGGCAACGCTGTCTCGTTTCATGCCCGTAGAGACAACCGACACTCATCCCATTTTCAGTATTTTGCTACCCACAGTATTTATTGTACCGTCCCTGTATTCATAATATGCTACTCGACGCAGGTATAAAACCACCCTCGACGGTCGAAATGTCATCATCAGGATGGATTCTCTGCTTGTACGTCAAGCAGCACAGTTCGGTCTTTGCTCGCTCTGTCGAGTTGTTCTAAAGTTTCTAGTTTGTTCCAAACATTCGCAGTTTAATCGCGTCGTCAGTAGTGTCGGTCGCTTCGTGTGATGGGAAGACAGCGCTCCCGGAGCAGGCTCCGAGAGAAAACGGAGAAGAAGAACAGCGGTGAGGGTAGCTTGAGTGTACCTATTTCGAATAGGTACGCTACTCTTCCCACCGATGTAGGGAATCCCACCTCAGCCACGGTGAAGCGGTCTAAGAAGAGGAAGAAAAATCAAGGCCAGTCCGATGGTGCGAGTGGACGGGACGATGCCACCGCGACGAACGTCAGCGTCATTGGTGATTTCGGCGATGCCGTCGACAACGAAACTGCTGCCAGCCCGAGTGCAGCAAAAATGAAGCTTCCTCCACTGGTGGTGAAGCAAGTCCCACTCAACACGCTGATTGGCGATCTTTCATCGCTGGGCGTTGCAGCTGAGTTTAAGCTCGGCAGGATCGGCACCAAGGTGATGCTCCGAACCAAAGCGGAGTACGAAGTGGCCGTGAAATATCTGAAGGATACCAAGGCGGAATTCTTCACGCACGACATCCCCGGTGAGAAGCCCTTCAAGGTAGTCATCAGGGGTCTACCAAACTTCGACCCCAAGATGGTCGAAGCCGAAATCAACCGGTACAAGCTAGCCCCAATCGCTGTCTTCCGAATGACAAGGAGAGATGAAAACGTGAAGACGTACCCGGATTGTCTTTTCCTGGTGCACTTCCAGAAAGGGACGGTGACGCTCAATGCGCTACAAGCCATCCGATCGATCTACTCCATCATCGTACGGTGGGAGCCATACCGTGGTGGTCATCGTGACGTAACGCAGTGTCAGAGGTGCCTCAATTTTGGACACGGTACCCGCAACTGCAACATCAAGCCACGCTGCAGCAACTGCGCTCAAGAACACGCCACTTCCAACTGCCCTGCGGATGGAGCCGTGGCGATAAAATGCGCTAACTGTGGTGGTGCACATCAAGGCTCTGACAGACAGTGCTCCAAACGCGAGGACTTCAAACGCATCCGAAAGCTGGCGTCAAGCAACAATCAACCAGGACGCAAGAAGGACAAAACCCCATCATTCAGGACGGAGGATTTTCCGCCTCTTCGTGCTCCCCAGCAAAGGCAAGCGAATTCGCGGGTGCAACCCGCCCCTCCTCAAGAAGCTTCCGGTGATTCTGCTGGCCAAAGCTCTCCATCCCCCCCTGGATTCTGGAGACAACCAACAGGACAAAACAACAACCCCGATCTGTTCTCAGCGGATGAACTGATGGAAATTTTCGTCAACATGTCCGGTGCTCTTCGTAAGTGCCGCAATAAGCCCGAACAGATCCAAGTGCTCGGTAAGTTCATCATCCAGTATGGCGTCTAAACCGCTAACTATCGTCACCTGGAATGCTTGCTCTGTAAGAGCAAAAAAGATTGAGCTTGCCGACTTCCTCCGCAAGCACAGCATCGACGTGGGCCTTCTAACCGAGACCCATCTAAAGTCCGGCGACAGCTTCTGGTTGCCTGACCACAACATTATCCGGCTTGATCGCACCAGCTCCAGGGGGGGTGGTGTTGCGGTCGTCGTCAAGAAAGGAATAAAATACCACACTCTGTCCCATATCCGCACCTCTATCATCGAGGCCCTTGGTGTGGAGGTGGAGTCGTCGACTGGATACGTCCAGTTCATCGCCGTCTACTGCCCTCGACAGTGTGCCGCCAGCAGTGGACTAGCGGCTAAATTCAAGAAGGACCTGTCCACCATCACCCGTAACGGTTCCCGCTTCGTCGTTGGAGGAGATCTGAATGCTCGCCATGAGGCCTGGCGGAACTACCAGCAGAACCAGAACGGTCGTCTCCTGTTCGACCACTCACAGCATGGGCTGTACTCCGTTTGGTTTTCGGATGAACCAACATTCATCTCACCGGCGGGCAACCCATCGACGCTAGACCTGTTCATGACAAATATCGGCTTGTCCAAGCCGGTAGCCTTGAACGAACTCAGCTCCGACCACCAACCGGTGGTGGCTGAACTGGGCTGCAACGTGGCTCCTGCTTCAAGTCTGCGCAAGGACTACCATCGCGTTAACTGGGCCCAGTTTGGACGCGTGGTAGACAGGCACATCATCGACAACCCGCCGCTTGACACCGTGGAGGACATCGATCGAGCGTTGGAGGGACTCCATCAAGCCATAACCGTGGCTGACGAGGCGTGCGTCCGACGAGTTCCTGTGAGGGGTAAGTTTATTGCCATTGATTCCCACACCCAACTTTTGATTCGCCTGAGAAATGTTCGTAGACGCCAGTTTCAGAGGACTGGAGATCTGGGCAAAAAACGTGAAACGGCTGATCTGAACAGACAGATTGCTTCCAGAATGGACTCACTCCGAAATGAAAGTTTCGGGCGTGTTGTCCAGAATCTGGACGACCGCTCCAGACCATTCTGGAAGGTAGCCAAGGTCCTGAAAACTCATCCCAAACCCATTCCACCTCTCAGAGTCGAAAATGATGACGATCGGCTTTTAATCACCCCACAGGAGAAAGCAAATGCGATCGGCGAGCATGTCGCTTCATCGCATTTGCTTGGCTCGAATATCCAAAGTCCGCTCGAAGATCAGGTTGCGCAATGCGTTCAAAACCTAGATGCCTCCCCTTGTGTCGTGCCTCCGGCGGATATGATTACAGTACAACAAATTTGCTCAGCGCTGAAATGCACCAAGAACATGAAGGCTCCCGGGTTTGACGGTATATTCAACTTGATCTTGAAGAGACTCAGCATGAAAGTGCAGTCTCTTCTAACCGCTATCTTCAACAGATGTTTGGAACTGCACTACTTTCCAAGTATCTGGAAAGTAGCAAAAATCATACCAATCCGCAAACCCGGTAAGGATCCAACATTGCCTTCAAGCTACAGACCAATCAGCCTCCTTTCAGCGCTGAGCAAATTGTTCGAGAAACTCATTCTCAATCGTTTGCTCAAGTTTGTCGAGGAAAATAACATTCTCCTTCCGGAACAGTTTGGGTTCAGAAAGGGGCACTCCACCAATCATCAGCTAGTACGGGTGATGAATAACATCCGAAGTAACAAAGCTGTATCCAAGTCCACAGCCATGGCCTTGTTAGACGTTGAAAAGGCGTTTGACAATGTTTGGCATGACGGACTTGTGTACAAGCTTTGTAACTTCAACTTCCCATTACATCTGGTTAAAATCACCCGTAACTACCTCCAGCAACGGTCGTTTAAGGTATCGTTGAATGGTTGTCTTTCCGACACGTTTTCCATCCCAGCAGGAGTGCCGCAAGGCAGTCTACTGGGCCCGTTGCTTTACAGCATTTATACTTCCGACATTCCTCCCCTTGGAGACGGTTGCGTGTTCTTCCTGTTCGCAGATGATACCGCAATAGCCGTCAAAGGAAGGATGCCTCGCGAAATAACGAACAAACTTCAACGATGCCTTAACGCCTTTGCTGATTATGCCACCACGTGGAAAATCAAAATCAATGCCTCCAAAACACAAGCGATCATGTTCCTCCATCGGCAATCGCCCAAACTAAAACCGGCTCCCTCTTGTACTGTAATCATGGATGGCACAAGGGTTGAGTGGTCCGCCGAAGTAACCTATCTCGGGATGTTGTTTGACGAAAAGCTCCTATTCCGCTCGCATGTGGAGAAAACTGTAGTCAAGTGTTCTACCTTGGTTAGGTGTCTGTATCCGCTGATTTGCCGCAGATCCCGCCTCTCAAGGGTGAACAAACTGGCCGTCTACAAACAAATCATAGCACCTGCGATCCTCTACGCAGCTCCGGTGTGGGAATCATGTGCACAGACTCACAGGAACAAAATTCAGGTAGCTCAGAATAGAGTGCTGAGGATGGTTCTTGATCGTCCTTTCGACACTAGAATAACAAATTTACATGAAGAGGCAGGCATTGCCATAATAGATTCCAAAATTAACGAAATTAAGACTAAATTTGCACAAAAATGTAATTTATCAGAACATGCTTTGATAAGCAATTTGTATATAGTAGATTAGGTGTATATAGTAGTTGTAGGTTAGTTGTAGTTGTAAATAGTAGTTATAAGTAGACTCCTTTTTCCAATTCAAATCATACCAATCCCACCAAGGTGGTCATTCTCTAAAACAGGCCTGATAGGACTAGGAACTGTAATTAATAATTAAAATCTCACTGTACTAAAGTTGAAAAGACGCATCTGTGTCACTTGAAAAATTCATACATGTAAACCGCACAAACACAAGAAATAACGATCATTTAAACTGGTAACGAAATGTCATCATTACAGTTTCAGCATCGAACTGTTCGTGTCGTTCGTTGCATAATGTCTGGACGTGGAAAAGGAGGCAAAGTCAAGGGAAAGGCAAAGTCCCGTTCGAGCCGCGGTGGATTGCAGTTTCCAGTCGGTCGTATTCACCGTCTACTCCGAAAGGGCAACTATGCCGAGCGTGTTGGAGCCGGTGCTCCCGTCTACCTGGCTGCCGTGATGGAGTATCTGGCCGCTGAAGTTCTCGAGTTGGCAGGAAATGCCGCTCGTGACAACAAGAAAACCCGAATTATCCCACGTCACCTGCAGTTGGCCATCCGCAACGACGAAGAGCTGAACAAACTTCTTTCCGGAGTGACCATCGCTCAGGGTGGTGTCCTGCCAAACATCCAGGCCGTCCTGTTGCCCAAGAAGACCGAAAAGAAGGCCTAAATTCGATCGAAGTTCCCACCCTTTAACAAAATCCGTCCTTTTCAGGACGACCAATTTGATGGTAAAGAGTTTCGTTTTCAAAACAGTTTCCTTCGTGGTGCGCAAGGAGTGATAAAATGAATCCATTAAAAACATGGTTGAATCTTTCTGTCATGCTCTCCCTAGTTAATTGATATCCTCATCGAGTAGGTTGATTTTTCGTCTTAATTTAAGTGTAAATTCGGATTAATTTCAGTGCGACAATGAAACTCCTAGGTAAGTGTTTGATTGGAAGGTGATTTTTCGGAAAATTGAGTTTTGGAAATGGTAAAAATTGGAGATTTGTAAATGAGCCGCATCGATGCCGGTAGGCGAACGCCTTTCTCAATTCTCGTTCCCGTCATCAACATGTCGGGTTTTTTCTTTTGGTGTGGTGTGCGGAAAATTGATTCGATTTTTTTTCTTCCGCTATGTTTCGTGATACTGCTGGGCAGTTGTTTGGTATCGTCCTTCTGGACGACGAGAACCGTCTCCAAGTACATCACTCCGGCGGATCAAGATCGTTATCAGAAAATCTTCACCGATGGTCTCAAATCGTCCGATCTGCAGGCGGTGTACTTTTCGTCCGTGAATGTGGCCGACAAGTCACCGGATGCCTGCAGCCGGTTGGACGCGGTTTACCTCGAGTCGAATTTTAATGATTTCAAGAAGAATTTCTACTACTCCGGGTCGTGGAAGAATTTCGGATGTAAGACGGTTCCGACAAAGGTCAAGCAAACAGTAGAGGCCGCTCTGCAGAAGGATACCGGTTCCACACAGGAAGTCTACTTCAATTTGCATGCGGCAAAGTATTTGGGTGTCGCTGTGGATGAAGCCACAAAGGCACGATTGGCTAAGAACTTGCAGGCTATTTTGAAGAAGGACGATTCTTTGAACAGTCTAGGGCATGCATTTGCTGTGGCGGCAGAGCTGGGAACTAATGGGGCTTTTGCTTACGATCGTGTTGAGGATGCCTTTGTACAGGCAGATGAAGTCGACGGAAAGATGCTGCAGTTCGAGGGAGGATTGAGCATTACGGCTTTGATTGTGAACGGCGCGTTCAAATTGACTGCGAGTCTGAATAAGCCAGCTCCGATTATTGCTGATCAGGCGGTCAAATTGGCAACTTACTTCCTGTCCCGTTCGTCGGTTCAAACTCCAAAGGGAGTGAGCATTCTGCTGGAAGCTTTGAATACACTTTCCACTCAGAAGGCTAACGCTCCCATTTGCGTCAAGCTGTCCGGAAATGTTCAACTCTTGCCAGAATCTCCCGTGCTGATGGTGAAAGTAAGCGATCTGTTAGGTAAGCCTTTGAGTCCGGCTTTGGCCATTGTGAGCATTTCTGTCACTTCGAAGGCAACAAGCGAAGCATATTGAAGCGATACTTCTAGATTATTATTACGCCTATACTGTGGACTCATAGAACAATAAAACCGAGCCTGGTTAGTAGGTGAACACAAAATACTAAAGTAGAACATTCTACCAACATATAGAGTCTAAGAGATTCCTTCAAAAAGGCACAATATATGCGACCGAAACTTCGGATGAAATCCAAACAGATATTTTGAGAGGAAACAGTCGATCACAATCCTCTTATTGAGTTTAACCGGTATTAACAGAGAAATAAGACGCGCTAACCACGAATCCTTGGAGATGATCGTGACACGCTTCATATGGATGACGAATCGTCCTCATCTCATCCTCAGAAAATGGTACCCATTATTTTAATCGGCATCCTTTTGAAAAATTCCCCTCACAAAAAGGCTTTTCATGTACTGCCAGAGGGTAGGGGGAGAGGGCAATTTAATTATTACTAAAATGAACGAAATTTACGATGTGCGCTTCCATCGTGCAAACTTTATTTTGATTGCCGAAGCATACACTCAAAAAATTTACCACATAGGTATCTAATGGATGAAAACCATGTGAATTTCACATAGCTAAAAATCCCACCACAAAATCACATGAATAACAGGAGGACGATGAAAGTCATGAAAAAAGTGTCGGAAAGGCATTAGAAAATTAATCGTTAAACTCTTTCTTGATAATGTTGTGGCCCTGAAAAGGGCCATTTTTCCAACGCGCTCGGCGTAGTTGCCCTTTCACCCCCAGGCTCTGCTGCCGCTGCTCTGCTGCCGTTGCTCTGCTTCCGCTGCTCTGGTACTGCTGCTCTGCTGCTCTGCTGGTGGGTCGACAATCGGATAGACAATGATGGAACGGGCGACCTTGTTGGACGCTTATATAGTAGAACAGAAAATATCAGAGGTGTCAGATACTCGCATCTGATGTCTCGGTTGGAGAAAGTATAAGAATATAAAAAAATCAATCGATTTTCACCATCTTTAGACAGTGGTTTACTTTTAACCATTTTTCAATAGTTTACAGAATGAAATCAATAGTTTTGAAACATTCAGCAAATTGCTAGAAATATTTCCAATCGATTGATGCCATTATCTTGTAAATCTATCGAGAGACGGTTGAGTTATTATCGTTAAAAATCTTTTAATTTTTCGTAACTCATCCAAAATGACTGTTTTCAATTTTGTACCCCCGTATGTTGCCGAAAGACGTTATCCAACGTCAAAAACGAGCCGGACTCCAAATCGCGATGATAAACAAAATACGACGGCCAAAGCGCGATCCCGGAGGCTGTACACGACGATGCTGACGAAGTTTGACTGCGTGGTAATGGACGACGAAACCTACGTCAAAGCCGACTACAAGCAGCTTCCGGGACAGGAGTTTTATACGGCAAAAGGAAGGGGAAAGGTAGCAGATGTTTTCAAGCACATGAAACTGTCAAAGTTCGCAAAGAAATATCTGGTTTGGCAAGCCATCTGTACCTGTGGCTTGAAAAGCAGCATTTTCATAGCTTCCGGGACTGTCAACCAAGAAATTTACGTGAAAGAGTGTTTGAATAAACGTCTGCTGCCTTTCCTGAAGAAACACGGTTGTTCCATACTGTTTTGGCCGGATTTGGCATCTTGCCATTACGGTAAAAAGGCCATGGAGTGGTACACCGCCAACAACGTGCAGGTGGTTCCCAAGGACAAGAACCCTCCCAACACGCCAGAGCTCCGCCCAATTGAGAAATACTGGGCTATTGTCAAGCGGAACCTAAAGAAGACCAAAAAAACTGCTAAGGGCGAGCAGCAGTTCAAGGCAAACTGGCTTTCTGCGGCGAAGAAGGTGGACAAGGTGGCTGTACAAAATCTGATGGCAGGGGTCAAGCGTAAGGCCCGGCAATTCGGATTTGGAAAAGCGGAAGCCTAACTGAATATTTTTCCTGAATTTTATACTAATTGAACTTGAAAAAGAAATTTAATTTGATTTTTTAAATAAACGATTTCACCGATTTACACGCGTTTTCCCTTGACCAAATTTTGACCGTATCACCCTTTATGATACAATAAAAGTCCTAATAGCTACTGGGTTTAATACAATTAGCTTGTAAAATCATTTTTAGTAGAAATTTATTACGATATTCACCATAAACAGTGATCCCCCCGGTTTACGGTACACTGAAAATGAAATTAACTCAGAGAGTGAGTCACTTTAACTCATTCGTATGGAGAAATTACTAAAACCGTTGACCACACAGCGTATGAGTAACCTACACGGATAGAAATCTCCTTATACCTTTTGGTAAATTTCTATTGCTGATTATTCATAAAATGTATAAGTCAACTAATGACAATGTATAAGCGAAATGTATCTTATAGGACCTATGTAGTTTGTCTTATGGAATGTATAAGGCTGATGTTTTGGCAAAAATGTATAAGTGAAACACATGAATAAAATAATTGATTTTCGTTTCGTGTACGCTTTTAGAAATTTCTCCATCGAATCAGTAAAAGCTACTCACTCTCCGAGTATGATTCGTTTTCATGTTATTAACGTTATCATCTAGCCTGATGTAACAAATACAGCAGAAAACGGGTTTGTAGCCGAGTTATTAACGATAGAGGAAGAGGGCTGAAACTACCCAACGACGACGACGTGTAAACTATGAATTCAATCGCCTTATAGTATGCAAAGTTGCATATAATTGCAACATAAAAAAATGTTGCACTACAAAGATTATGATGCAAGGGGTGTTCTGATTTTATAAGGTATCAGCACACTGTTTGTAAAGATGATAAATATTTGATGTTTACTTAAACAGCATGCTGCTATTGCAGCGGGTATAAATAAAAATACTAGCCAACACGGAACTTTTGATAATTTTGACATAGGAAGCATTACTGCTCCTAAAATGGAATTTTTACAGAAATCATTAATTGACATAACATTAATTGATTGATGCAATTCAAACTGGAGTTAAATTTGCGAATAATATCGTCACGACTTTGAAATTCAGCAATGGATTTTAAATTATTAAATATTTTGATTTTGAATGCTCGATCTTTTAAAGATAATGAAGACGAAGTTTTCCGACGAAACTAATTAGGCTGATTCGTGCAACGCTGGATGGTTCGAAATCATGTGTACGGGTTGCAGACGAGATTTCGGCCTCGTTCGTGACCTTAGATGGGTTGAAGCAGGGAGATGCTCTTTCGAACTTGCTATTCAACATCGCCCTCGAAGGAGCGATTACGAGAGCTGGCGTGCAGAGGAACGGTACCATCATCACAAAGTCGCACATGCCCCTTGGTTTTGCGGACGACATCGACATCATCGGAATCGACCGTAGAGCAGTGGAAGAGGCGTTCGCGCCTTTTAAGAGGGAGTACATGGTCGCCGCTAAAAGCGTGGGAGCAATAGTGGTGTTGGTAGTGAAGTGGTGGTAAATGACGAAAAATTTGAAGTTGTGGACGAATTTGTTTATCTTGGTACTTTAGTGACGTGCGATAATGATGTTACCCGCGAGGTGAAAAGGCGTATTGCAGCCGCGAACAGGGCTTTCTACGGGTTGCGTAGCCAGCTGAAGTCCCGCAGCTTGCGTACGAAAACGAAATTCGCGCTGTACAAGACGTTGATTCTGCCGGTAGGCCTTTATGGCCACGAATCGTGGGCATTGAAAGAGGCCGATCGGAGAGCTTTCGGTGTCTTCGAGCGTAAAGTGCTGCGAACAATACTCGGCGGTAAACTGGAAAATGGCATGGCGTCGCATGAATCACGAGTTGTACCAAGTATATAACAGCATGGATGTTGTGAAGCTTATAAAACACGGCAGGCTACAGTGGGCTGGGCATGTGGCACGAATGCCGGAAGAGCGTCAAGCGAAGTCAATATTCAGCAGGGAACCCGGAAGAGGACGTCGGCTTCGGGGTAGGCCACGCACGCGTTGGCTTTGTGCAGTTGAGGAGGACATAAGGTCCTTGAACGTCCAAGGCGACTGAAAGCGATTGGCTCAGGACCAAGACCAATGGAGACGGTTACTTCGTTCGGCGCAGATTTGAATTCAACGAGTCGTCGCCCATCAGGTACTCAGGTAGGAAGACGAGCTATTTAACGTTTTGAGAGTTCATAACGTGCATATTGCCGTTATAACTGAAACGTTCCTTAAGCCTGACCATAAGGTTAAAAGGGACGCAAATTACTTCATTTATCGAAATGACCGTCTTGATGGACCCTGTGGTGGCGTTGCCATCATTGTTCATAGACGAATCAAACATAAAATTCTTTCTTCATTTGAAACCAAAGTTTTTGAAACTTTGGGAGTTTCTGTTGAAACAAAATTTGGACAACTTACGTTTATAGCTGCCTATTTGCCATTCCAATGCGTAGGCCAGCTTAAGAATTTTCTCAAGGGTGACCTTCAGAAACTTACCCGTCATAGGTCTAAATTCTTCATTATTGGTGATTTTAATGCAAAACACCGCTCTTGGAATAATGCTCAAAGCAATCCCAATGGTAATATTCTGTTTGATGATTGTTCTGCAGGTTGTTATTACACTATTCAATATCCAAACAGCCCAACATGCTTTTCTTCTGCAAGAAATCCCTCCACTATTGATTTACCCACACAGCAAAAAATAAATTTTAATATTACATCCAAGAGGATGCACTTCAATCATGTCGAAAATCTCATGTAATTTTTATTGCCACACAAATAAACAAATGCAGTAAGAGCAACGTAATGTCAGCTCATGCACTGCATTAATGATAATGTTGCCCTTTTTAGCAAATAATATTACACCATATTTTCGACATGATTGAAGTGCATCCACTTTGATGTAATATTAAACTTATTTTTTTGCTGTGCATGCTGACTTCGGTTCTGATCACCTTCCAGTAACTTTTGAAATATCGAACATTTATGGAATAACGCTTTGATTCAAACATTCATTTGCAAACCAAAGATGATGTTAATTATGCTGTTGAATCTGTGACTACTTCTATAGTTGAAGCAAGAGCTGCCTCAGTACCAAAAT